TTTGTCTATGCTCTCGCTTAGTATTTATTCAATCCAAATTATATCAAGGTCCACTGTTTCCTATTCATGCCCTTGGAAATAGATTATCATAAAAATATTTCCAAGAGCAGGAATAGAAAAATAAAAGAACAAACCGAGAGCCAAAAGCCATTTTTTATCTTGTTCTTAAACCCTGCATACATAACAAATATCACCACCTCCCCTCCAACTCTGCACCTTTGGTAACTCACAGTCTTGGACAAATCCAGCCCCCCATCTCCCCCTCCAGGATGTTCTGCAGGGGGAAAATCAAGATAAGCAACCCTTCCTGAAGTATATTCTTTTCTTAATCCCAGAAAAACCACAGGTTTTAATTTCTTTACTAGAATCAATCATGCGCATTCATCACTTCACCTGAAATGACTGCCAGCAGCTCCTTTTAACACTATTTACTTGTACTCAGAAAATAGGTTTTAAAAAATATTAGCCGGGCTCGGTGGCTCAGCCTGTAATCCCGCGTCTTTGGGAGGCTGAGGTGAGTGGATTGCCTGAGCCCGCGGGTTCGAGACCCGCCTGGGCAGCAAGACCTCATCTCTACAATAAATCAAAAAATCAGCCAGGCGTGGTAGCGCGCGCCTGTAATTCCAGCTACTCGGAAGGCTGAGGCGGAAGGATCGCCGGAGCCCAGCAGGTCGAGGCTGCGGTAGCCGGGAGCGGCCAGTGCACTCCAGTCTGGGTGACAGAGTGAGACTCCAACTCAAAAACAAACAAACAAACAAACAAAAAACAGGGCACATAACATTTTATAGAATAACAGATAAAGAAGGCAGGAGAAAGCCAAGGAGAATTTAAGGAGTTTGTGAAGGGACAGATGGATGTAATGAAATTTTTGAGACAGAAATGATGGAGATGAGAGCGGGAAGTAGATTTTGATCAAATATTAAATAAAGTCTGAAATATCAGCTAAGCATTTTTCAAGGCCTAACACAGGCCCAGAAAGGCACCTGACAAATTATTGTATCGGGGGTAAAAATATCACTTGTAGAGCTCATAGTTAATATTTTTTAGGAGCAGAGAGGGATATAGACTTGATAACAACAGTAGAAAGTCATTGATGGTATCTAAGCATGGGAATAATGGGAAAATACATTTTAGGGACATAATATATAACAATATATTAGAGGAATTAATTTGAAAGCATCAGGAAGAATCCTTTGCAGATTGTTTGAGATTAAGAGCAGAAAGCCTAATTTTATATTAAGGTATATATTTGAGTACCTTGAGAAATAAAACATAAATGGATTTCAAAATTCAAATTCAAAGTAAAAAAAAAAAATCATTACACTTTAAAAATTAAGCTTTCAGATTAGCCAACAATTGAAGAAAGCAATTAGATTTTGAGGAAACAGGCCTTTCCTGAAAGTCTTAATTGACTTTTTCCAAAGAAATATCCATCTAATTAGTGCTTTTTAGAATAGATGCTACCTGAACACTTGGGTGGAATTAAATGTTTTAGAGTAAAAAATACCACTTTTAGAATTAATAGTCAAATATTTTGTACAACACACAAGAATAGTTATTTTAAACATACACACAAAGGAGTGCTGGCCATGTTAACTATACTGTAAGCAAACTATCAACTTAAGAAAACACCAGGCCCTTACTGGAAAATTCATCAAGCATTATGACAATCACCATGCAATCAAATCTTTGTTTAAAATCAAATTACAATTATTCTAATTATGAACCAACATTTCATTTGTTGAACAACTGGTACCCAACCCAACAGTTCCGTAGAAGAAATGATTTCATCACAAGACAACTTAATTCATTTGGGTGCAAAGTCACCTTTTTGCTTTTTTAAGCAACTGATTTACCAGTTTAGGTATCAGAAATGCTATTTCTTTAAAAATTACTTCATGAACTAAGTCTAAGTCAAACCAAAATGCTTTCATCCATTATGAAACAATATTGTGCACTCATAAACATTTTAAATCTTTCCCAGCAACGGGCTTATGTGGACCAACCAGGAAGTGAAACCAAATATGATCACATTGTGAAAACCGAGTAAAATGAAAGTACACATTTGGAACTGGTTGAAGCACTATTAAAATTTCATTAAAAAACCCATCCCTTGGAAGCATCCATTTAATCAAGGCAGTAATAAGAGGAATTTCAAAAGCATAAGTCTTCATTTTGTTATTTGGCAATTTCCCAATCTCCTATGCAAATGTCCTTTCCTGTAACTAGGCTGGCTCATCTGAAACATGAACACTCACCCAGCCCAGCCGGTGAGTGCAGAGAGCCGAGTTAAGCTATCACTTTCATGCTGGTAAATCTACTCTGATACAAAACAATTGCAATCTTTCATGACTTAACTTTGCAGAAAATGTATCTTTTGCTTCTTAGGTAACAAGCAAATTCCATTTCTCTTAACTGTTTTGCTTGGGTTTCTGTCATTCCCTTTATACTACTGTAAATTAAACTTCCTAAAACTACAAACTGTATTTTACTTTTTTTTTTTTTTGAGTTGGAGTCTCACTCTGTCACCCAGACTGGAGTGCAGTGGCCACTCCTGGCCACCGCAGCCTTGACCTGCTGGGCTCCGGCGATCCTTCCGCCTCAGTCTTCCGAGTAGCCGGAATTATAGGCGCGCACTACCACGCCCAGCTAATTTTTTGATTTTATTGTAGAGATGAGGTCTCGCCTGCCCAGGCAGGTCTCGAACCCGCAGGTTCAGGCAATCCACTCACTTCAGCCTCCCAAAGGCGCGGGATTACAGGCTGAGCCACTGAGCCCGGCTGTATTTTACTTTTTAATTAGCTTGCTTTTTAATGAAGACAGAGCGACCTAGACATAATAAGAGTTATTATAAGTACCTAATAATTATTCTTATTGTTTAAGGATTTTATTGTCAAATAAAATTCAGTTTTGTCTACATTTTCCTTCTAAGATGGAGACTAAGTAAAACCATCAATTCCTGGGCTATACCACTTTATCTCATTTTTCTAGGAGGCTGGGTGTGGGAGAAAGGGCAAGAAGACATCCATGTACAAATAAAATAAATTATTATTTACTGATTATTTTTCTTTATTCTCATCTTTAATCTTAAAGCAGGATTTGAATAAGTTTAATATTATACAGTACAACATTTTTATGGCAATTTCTTAGCAGTCTAAATAAATAAGAAGGTGGTTCTTGAACTACTCATAACTCCAACAAATAATCAGGTAGCCCAGGAGTTCACAACCCCCAGAACACCTATCCCTGGCCTGTTGGGAACCCAGCTACACAGCAGGAGGTGAGCGGCAGATGAATGAGCAGAGCTTTATCTGTATTGACAGCTGCTCCCCATTGCTCACATTATTGCCTAAACTCTGCCTTCTGTCAGATCATTGGGGGCATTATATTCTCATAGTGTGTGAACCCTCTTGTGAACTGCACATGAGAGGAATCTAGGTTGTGTTCTCTTATTAGAATCGAATGCCTCGTGATCTGAGGTGGAGCTGAGGTGGTGATGCTAGCACTGGGAAGTGGCTACAAATACAGATTAACATTAGCAGTGAGGTTTAACTGCACAGAGACCATAATAAATCAATTGCTTGCAGACTCGTATCAAAACCCTATCAGAGAGTGGCAAGTGAATTGATGTACTTCAATTGTACAGCTGCTTCTGGTGGCAGGCTTTAAGTCTGAATCCAACTTATTTTAGTCTGTGCATGGCCCACCCATTATTTTATTTACCCTTGCTATCCATGCCTCTGTGCCTCTTTCTTTTTAATGGTTTTATAATTATTTCGTTATATATTATAATGTAATAATAATAGAAATAAAGTGCACAATAAATGTTATGTGCCTCAATCATCCTAAAACCATCTGCTCTCCCACCCCATCTGTGGAAAAACTGTCTTCACAAAACTGGTACCTGATGCCAAAAAGGTTGGGGACTGCTGAGGTAGCCCCATCAGATATTGCACAGACACAATGCAAATGTGAATATGAATGCTGCTCGCTCTACAGACAGAGCAGACACGCTACTGCTACGTATAAGAATGAAATTTGGCTGGGCTCGGTGGTTTAGCCTATAATCCCAGCGCTTTGGGAGGCTGAGTGGATTTCCTGAGCCCACGGGTTCAAGACTTGCCTGGGCAACTTGGCGAGACCTCATCTCTACAATAAATCAAAAATTAGCTGGGCGTGGTAGTGCGCACCTGTAATTCCAGCTACTTGGAAGGCTAAGGTGAAAGGATTGTCGGAGCCCAGCAGGTGGAGGCTGCAGTGGCCAGGAGCAGCCACTGCACTCCAGTCTGGGTGACAGAGTGAGACTCCAACTCAAAATAAAATAAAATAAACAATTTTTAAAATTAAAAAAAAAGAATGGAATTTAAAAGACAAAAAAATTCCTAGCATAAATAAGTCATGACAGACAAATTCATTGGCATGCATGTGTGTATATAAACACACATATAAATGCATGTTTATATATTTATGTATATATAAAATGCAAATCATGTAGTTAGTGAGTTCAATAAACACTTGAGAGTCTATTAAGTAAATACTAACAACAGTATCACTCCTGAGAGGTGAGCCAATCCTATTGCCATTGTGGTAAGATGCTGAAGAGCCTGCCTAGGAGTCTAATGCAGAGCTCGTCTAAAACACTGACTCATGAAAACATCAGTGTTGCTGGGTAGAGAGGCT